AAGCCACTATAGCCTGAGAGAAATCATGTTAGTGAAATTTCTCAAACGTATAGACCATAGTTAAGGGAACCGTGGGGGTAGGGTAGCATTTCAGCCTCCGAAACCTCGATCCCACAGTTCCTCCTAGGGATCTCGTGGGGACCCCAGTTTTTCAATTTCGGGATCTCGCTTCCAAATAAAGGAGATCACGTTCCAACCATTAGTGGATTCCAGTACTATTTCGAAATAGATTCCTGCTCCCATCAAACATGGTCCATAGTTTTGGTACATTATAATCTTGGGTTCAATATATATGGAATCTACTTTCAAAAACATATGAATCCAGTTCCACAGTATTCCTACACCTCTCTCGCTCTCACTCTCTCTCTCTCTCTCTCACTCTCTCTCCCCCTTTTATATAAGTAGCAAGTTTTTTAATAGAGCAACAAATTTAGTATTCATACAAATGGCAAGTTTTATACCAGAGCAACAAATTCCGTGTTCATGCTCTGATCAAATACCAGATTATCCAATAAAATGTCAAATCAAGACAAAGTAACCAACACAACATTCATATTCTAATCCTAAATCCAGATTTATCACGTAGATCTTAGAAATTTAATGCATCGAAGCCCATGCAACATTCGTGTTTCAATCCAAATACTTGATTATAGCATAAATCACAAAATATATACGAAAAGCAACGAAAAAAGTATTCATCTCATCATTATCTCTCCACTCTCACTCTCTCCCCCTCGCTCTCGCTCTCACTTTCACTCTCACTCCTCCCTGCGCACCTCTCTCTCTCTCCACTGCATACACACAACTCTCTCTACTGTGCACACACACACAACTCTCTCTACTGTGCACACACACAGCCCTTTCTCTCTCTCTCTCTACTGTGCACACACACGCACCCCTTTCTCTCTCTCTCTCTACTGTGCACACACACACACCCCTTTCTCTCTCTCTGTACTGCACACACACACTCAACTCTCTCTCTCTTATTCACACACAAGAGACAGAAATACACAGGGAAAGAGCACAAGCGCACATGCCTGTAGTGTGGGACAGTTGGGAGGAGCGACCAGATTCACCAAAATGATCACCAAAAGCTAATGGGGAAGGAGCTGTGTGGGCTGGTTTTGGGTCCAAGGGTTAATATAGAGGGAGGGAAAATTGGGCGGGGAAAAGGGAAGGCCGGGGGGGTGGGGGAGGGGTACGTGTTGCTGATCTAAGTATGTAGTTGATTAAAATAATAGAAAGAATCCAATTTATGTACTTGTAGATTATTTTTTGGATTTATGTGTAAGGAATATGTTGGTGGTCAGAGGGACTGTGTTATTAAAGTTATACCTCTAATGGGATTAGGAGTACATGTAAGAAGAATGGAGTACATAAGTATACTATGAACTATCTAATAGAGTGATCTATACTTTTAGCATTTATCAAGTAGTATATAGGCACATGATGTATCAAATTTCAGAGGGACTGTGTTATTAAAGTTATACCTCTAATGGGATTAGGAGTACATGTAAGAAGAATGGAGTACATAAGTATACTATGAACTATCTAATAGAGTGATCTATACTTTTAGCATTTATCAAGTAGTATATAGGCACATGATGTATCAAATTTTAGCAATATGCATTTAATCATACACATTAGATTTTGGACTAAGAGGACTAAGTAGCAAAATAATCCATATTCTTTTGATTTATCAAGCATATAGGCATGTGTTGCATAAAAATATGGTTTGATGCACTTATTTAAACATAGGATGTCATACATATTACATTTTGGACTATGGACCACATACTATATAGTAATGTGCCTAAAAGTATTTAATATTTCATAAAGTAGCATGTATGCATCAAGTAGCATGTATGCCTAGAAATAGGGCACTATGGATTTATTTAATTAGAGGTTGTCATATGCTCTTATGTACATATTGGATTTTGGAGCATGGACTATAGACATATACAGTAAAGTGTTTGGTAGTATTTAGCATTTATCTAGTAGCATGTAAGTAGTATTTAGCATTTATCAAGTAGCAAGTAGCATTTATTAAGTAGCATGTAAGCATGTAATGTAATGTAACTAGAGGATAGCATACATATTGGACTTATTCCCTTACCTAATGGTAGTTGCAGACCTTGGGGCTAATCAATTGAGGACCTTGATTCCTATAATTGAAAAATCTCGATATTAGAATAAGAGGAACTCTGTTATATGACAAACGGAAACCTCGATCCCTTAGCCAAGGGAGCCCGTACTAGCTCTATTTGACAACCTTGTTTAATGTGTAGTGGAGCTTAAATTATTGCCAATCAAAACCTCGAACCCATCAATATGGGATCTCGCTCCCATAAACCCAAGGATCTCATTCCCTCTCTTGTTCATTGTAAGGACGCCGATCCCAAATCCAGGGAACTTCCGCAATAGGGCAGTTCGGCGATTCCCGAACCAATCCCGCTCCTGTCTCCATCAACTATGGTATAGACTCTTTAATATAAGTTCAATATGTCATGGAGCCATAGAGAGTTATAGGTGCCTATAGATCACAAGGGCATACCAGAGAATCTGTGAGTGTAGAATTTACATGCAAAACTTTTTCAGTTCAATGCAGTCACTCTCTCCCACATCCCTATCTATTTCATTTCACTTTTCCTTGTATCTACCAATATCATCATGAACTTAAGAGTGCCTGATGAAGTCCTTCCTCTGCTATGAGACATCTTTGAGCATAAGTTCCTCCTTGTTTTGTGGGACAAGGTCTGCGAACTGAAACATCTAGGAGGTCTAGGCATACGTAATGTAAAAAATATGAACCTGGTCCGCTTGGGTAAATGGTGGTGCCAGTGTACTTCCCAACAGAATCTTCTTTGGCGTGAGGTATTCCCCATAAATGTGGAACTGACAGCATTGGTTGATTCCCTATGAGAGAACTTGACTCCAATGCCTCTGTGGATCAATGTTTTGAGACCCCGTAGGATAAGTGTCATTTGGACCCCCAGCTTTAGAGAATCCCTGCTGGATCCTCAAACTGAAGAACTTTGCTTTACATCGCCTTTTACTCCCTTTGTTTTTCGCAGACTCCGGCAATGATGAAGTTATTTGGACTAAATCTCAACGAGAACTGTTTCCTCTTTCTATCAAGCCGTCAACCCCATCTCTTTAACATCTTCTGTTCTAAGATAATACAAATTCCACCTAAAGTGAAAGATTTTGGTTGTCATTGCCAACCGAAACCTAACTCTTGATCAATTACGAAGAAGAGGTTACTAGTCGATGCTCCATGTGCATTGATGCAGAAGAACACAGCCACCTGTTCCTCCATTGTAATATGGTATCACTCTCTTGGCCCATGCTTTGCTAGACTTAAACTGGCAATGGGTAACCCCTCAATCCTGTGAACAACTTTTTCCTGCCTTCTTATGACCACCTCGCCCCAAATGAGGCCTTTCTCTAGAGAGGCTCTGTTCTAGCCACACTATGGACAATCTGGGAGAACAAAGTTCAATAATTTTTAGAGCTAAGAAGACAACAATGTCTGCCATTGCTGAACATGCTAGAAATCTCACCATTTTCGTGCAACAAACTTCAAAGATCTCAAACGCTTCTCTAGATCCGACTTCATCTCCAACTCATCCAACATCATTAAATAGAAGGCCCCCAAGCTTCACCAGTCAGCCATGCGGATCCCCCCATGTCCATGAACCATCAAACACAATATAGATGGCTGTCCTCTTGGCAATCCCAGCCTTTGTGGTTTCCAGATATCTTTCATGGCTCAGGCAAACACCATTTCCTCTTTCTACGGCTAATTTGGGACGAGTGACTCCACCTGGGCTGAGGTGAAGTGGCTAACGCACCACTCAAAGGACTAAAGAGGTTTGATCCAGTTTGGGGTGAGAATCTCATCGTAGAGGGGGACTCAAAGAATTTCATATTGTGTGCCAATGCCCCTATATTTTGATCGGGTTTTTCATTGATGCAGGCATCTTCGAGTCATTTTCCATCATATTTAATTGGAAGTCACTTTGCGGCATATGCCCCATCTAAGGAGGGCTCTGCTGTAGAGTGCCCCAAACACCACTTCTAAGTCTGTATCTCTTTCTCTCTTACTATTTATATATCTCCTTCTCCTCCCCTTTCCATTCTTTCTTTTTCTTCACAGTGATTCCAGTTTTCCTCTCCCTCTCCCCACGGTCTACCCTCCCTCTTTGCTATCTCTGTAAGCTATCCCTTTCTTCTCCTTCTCCTCTCTCCCTCTATTTCTCTCTCTTTCTTTGCTTTTCTGATAGACTTGAATGTATATATTTCTCTGATCTGTGATAACAAAAATACGACATGCGGCACGCGTACACTCCTTTTTTGGTCTCTATTTTTGGTTAGTAGTTTTGGTTTATACTTTATAGAGTACCCAACATGTGGGCTGCCATTACCTTACTTCTCATGAGGTCTTCTGTAGCTATTATCATATGAATATATTGTCACCAACTTCAAAAAAAGAAGAAGGTGTAAGCTTATTCTGGTGTTTATATGTGACGATCAAAGAAAGGACCGAAATAACCACAACTGAGTCAAGGATGAACTGCCAATGGCCAACCCTAGGAGTCTACAATAAAGGATGACATTCAACAGAAAACATAACGGAAACCACAACCTCAACCCTAGGAGTCTACTCTTCTTGACACAAATCTAAGCATGGTCCTGCTTACAAATCCTTATATTCTGTGTGCCACTAATAGGCATTGGCATGGTTCTATGTTGGTATTTAGGTTAAAGATTGAGTATCTAAAGAGTCTTTGGTAATTCATATATTTATTTTATCTTTCTTGACCATTATTTTGGTATTTAAGGAATTAAAGTAAAGATAAATTTCAGAAGATTCTATGCAGATACATGTATGCTAATTTTATAACTTTTTCTTTTGTTTTATTCAAGACTTCAGCGTATCTTGGTTGCTGTACAACTTTTATGTTCACACAGTACACTCACAAATCACAATTTTGTAGGTTTTACGTGCACGTGATTTCCGCAACAGTAGAGGAGCCAATGAAATTCGAAAAGGTAGGCTCTCAATCACTGAATGTGAATGTTTATCTCATTTATGATATCCGAAAAGGGAGATATGCTGAAAATTCCCTGGTTTTGGAAAAAATAACTAACAAACTAGCAAGCTCTGGTTCTGAAAGATTCACATTAGTTTGATTCATGAATTCCTGTAGCACTAGCAGCACCAGGTTCCAGGGAGATGAATATCCTTCAAATTCTCTCTCTCTCTTTCCACATACACCTTCAGAGTCGACTACCTCCACCACTGTTACTAACACGATACTAGCAATCTGCTTCCCTATGCTTCTGATCTTTTGTTCTGCTAGCATGATATGCATCTATAAAAATGATCGGCACACCTTTCTCGTATCCATAATTGTTGTATAATTCTCATTATTCTTGTTTGTCACATAGCATTACTGTTTTTTTTTTTTTGTGAAATAATAGATTACTGTCTTCAGTTCTTAGCTTTACATGTTGGAAACGTAGAGAAAACTCACTATACTCAGACCACTGGATCATCACTGTCCATTGAGAGAAGGGACGTTGATGGAGAGTCAGCAGGATCCACCACTGGGATCATGTCCTATTTTGCTTGGTCCTAGTTTCCTTATATTATTGCTCATCATGTCAATGGATGTTGATGACCCAACAGACTATGATTTTCCAGAATCCATTTGATTATTATTTACTTTCCCCGAAATGAATTGAAATATCTCCCAAAATTCATTGACCATGCAGAAGTACATTGGCGCATAAGCACATGCGTACTTTGAGAGTGGGACCTAACATTAGGATAATAGCCGTTTCGGTGGTTCCCTTTCTCTCTCCATTACCATCCATCGCACATCGTTTCAATGGCATTAGGGCTGCAAATGGGTCGTGTCCAGATCAACATGGTCTAGACCCGACCTAGAACCAGAACCGGCCAGACTCCGAATTACACAAACACACACACACACATACACAGAGGCACACATGCACAGATATATATATATATATAT